AGACAGTGCATGCAACAATGTCAGTTTTCCGGTTCCTGGCTAAGGCATCAATATGAAGTCAATTTCTATATGCCCTAAAGCTGAAAATGTCTTGGAATTCTGACCACTGGGCTCCCTGTGAGTTTTATTACATGCTGTGACGCTGGCCGAGACCGAAAAATTGAGCAGAAGACAACTGTAAGGAGAGGTGGCGGATCCGTTTCCAGACTGGCGGCTCCTATAATATCAGTCACAAGTGAAGCCCAAAACTAGCTAAAGTCTTGCAATTTGGTCAAGTGATGGTCACATATGTTATCCCGCGCCCTGCTGGGGGGGGGTGTTTGAACACCCCCCCTTGTCGTTTTTCGCGAATATCTCAAAAACGGCGGCGCGGAGCGCCGCCGTTTTTGGTACACCTTATCATAGATCAATTCTACACATGTTGTGAAAATTTCAGACCAAGGTCATTCAAGGTCAGGTCACCAGGTCACTTGAAGTGACCTCACATCATAAAAACTTTCAATGTCTGTCATAGCTACACCGAGTGACCGATCGCTTTGAAACTTTCAGCGATTGCTAAGAGCAATAGCATGTACAAAATGTTTATCTCAGAATTTTGATATCGATGACCTAAGGTCAGGTCAATTTTGCGACCTCCCCATTATAAGTCAATGGGAGAAAATTGAAATGCGCCTCTTTTGGAAGAAAGACATTATAAACACTCCCAAACACCGAATTACAAGTGGTTTAGACACACTGAACTTAAAAATGGTGTCCGTGACCCTTGTTTATGCCCTGAGGTCATCTTAGGTCACGAATGGTATCTAACAGTTTTTCGCAAATAACTTTTGAAAGAGGCATGCTAGAGCGATGAAAACGCCTTAGATGTGTTCAGCTCGACGATACGGATCGACTGATATGCAACATGACCCTTTCCGGTCAGGTCATGACCTTGACCTGAGGTCAAATTTTCAAGTTGACCTTTCAAGGTCAAGTTATAGTTCATTCGATGCGTCTTGACGAGAGGAACACGATGCCGGTAAAAGTAAGCTCGTACAAGGCTTGGGTCAAAAGTTATTGCAGAAAAACTGTTTAAAAAATCGGCTATTTTTGCAGTTTTTGCCCCCTGCAGGCAAAACCGTTGACGTTAGGTCAAATCTGAGAGAATTACTCAGAAAGGGCGTTAACCCGCGAGTTGCTGGGGGGGGGCGTTAAACGCCCCCACTTTTTTCGCCGGGCCATAGCATAAAAACGGCGCGCCGCAGGCGCGCCAAATTTTGGGTACCTGTAGGGAATTGATTGAAGTTTATTGTGACAAAGTTTCAAAAAAATCGGTTGGAAAATTTTTGAGATATCGAGGTTTTAGTGACGTCATGATTTCTGAGTTTTCGACCAAAAACGGCATATGTTCAAAAAATCATATAAAATCACAGAATAGACATACAGACATGCCGTAAATGCCATTAGACTGCCAATACCATGAACAATCAAATGGCTATCTTCGATTATTGATTATCGTTCCGCATTTTCCAAAATCTTGAACTGAATCTTGGCAATTTCTCGTGACTACTTAACGACCATGATACATGCATTTCTTAAATTGAACTTTCTTAGCCAAACACGTACACATATGATAAAATGAATGTCACCATCGTGTTCTACGCCCCAAATTACCCATAAAACATGTGTCACAGGCTGCGAATATCAGTTTTGATTTTCGGGGATATGTGCCTACCCGGTTGACCTGACCTTGACCCTGACCTATGCTTGACTGACCCCTACATGGAGCGGACACTCTTGTAGGCTTTATATGATGGATTGTGCCCCGTTTTGACAGAGTTTGTGACGAGAGGCGCCCATTGCGAAGTCCTGAAGTCCATGCTACTGAAAGCCCGATTTCAGGTGTTTGACCTGACCTTGACCCGACCTGTGACCTCGAAATTCAACTTTAAAGTACTCATCTGAAGCGTCTCGTCGCGCTCTTTCGTTTGCCGCCTCGTGCGTTTCGCTGCGCCTATTGGTTCTCGAGTTATCGGCTGGGGGCGTTTAACGCCCCCCCCCAGCAAACGGTGGGTGGCGAAATACCCCAGCAACTGCCGGGTTAATAGGGCTATCGAATGCGCTTTTCCGCGGCGCTGTAGCTCTATTGGTTCCCGAGTTATGCGTTGGCTTCTTGGAAATTTTCGACATTCGACCTGGAAATCGGCGAAATTTTGCCTTCAATGACCTCTGGTGACCTGACCTTTGACCTGACCAAAAAATTGACCGAAGTGATTTCGTCATTATTTTTTACGCTCTTTCGAATGCTGCCTTCCGCGTATCGCTACGTGGCCCAGGAGCCGAGTTACAAGGGGGGGTGTTCAAACACCCCCCCCAGCAGGGCGTGGAAATCCAGGACCCCCAGCAGGGCGCGGGTTATGGCTTGCGGAGAGCTGGCGTGCCCACATCAGCAATCTGTGTTTCGCTCCTGCATGCAAACAATGGGTCCTGCTCTGGTAACAGCTGCCGAGTCGCTCTCTCTTCGGCACACGTATAGCTTCAAACGTGTGTTTCAAGACAGCGCGACTACCATTGTAAAGGAAAACGATAACTTTCTTCACATTGCTCGCTGAGGGAGTCACACTGTCGAGAAGCACCTCAAGTTACAACGCTACGACCTGCATTCCTTCAACACATTGATGTGTATAGTTGAGCGAAAACAAACATTGCAATTCATGGAGTCAATATGGACAGTATACCGTCACTCAACACCAGCGATGCGCGAACAGAGCTTCATGAAATAAGAAAGCTTCATGAAAATGAGAAAGGTTGAGCCGCAGGACGTAAACACAATGCAACATTCCTGGGATCAGTTTGTCTATGCAATCAATAACTACGATCCTATTCGTCGATGTGTAAGATACCTACATGGCTGAGAATTTCAGATGTGGATTTACAATTCGAATAGTAACTAAAGGCAAATGTAGCACAAGAACTATAAGAAAGTGCATTCCTAAGTGCGAAGCTCTGCTGCAGTGTCCAGTGAACCGAGATCTCGTGACTCCGTCTAAATCTCGAATCTCGATCGCCATCACCCGCTGCAAAATGCGGCCACCGTCACTGACAACGGTGTTCAAAAGTCCCCTTCTCTCGAGAGGGACAGATGACAGAACCCGTCTGTCCCTATGCTGAGCATGAAATCGGCCTCAGTGGAAGCAGGGAATAGTTGTGGCCCAGCAGGCCACCTCGGACGGTCTCGCTAAAAACGCAGCACCGGCAGCTTTGTTATTTACCCATAGGAATCTTCGTAATTCCGTGGCGCAGATCGTGTGGGCTTTCAAAGCATTGAGCCGGGTGCGTGTCTGATTTAGACAGGCAAATTAATCTGCAGTGTGTCCAATATGTCATCAGACTGTCTCTTGTCAAAAACGACCGATCACGGATTGTTCCTGTCTATTGATGCTTTGAACTTAATACAGTGTGATATACCTGTCTATAAGTGCTTTTATTTATTTATCGTGTTAAAAATCATGCTATAAATTATACATTTATTAAAATATACATCACATTTAAGAAGTTACTTTCATTTAAATGGGCTTACTAGAGCGTCAATACACAATTCCGCGTGCTACGTCGAATTTCCCAGCAGGGCCCTAATAGCAGTCGGCAAAATCCGTGCACAGTCCAGATATATAGTGGTCTATGTCTTGATATATGTAGTTGGGATTTTAAATGACCTTTTCTTCGATACTGAATTGGAAATGCAATAAAAAGCAATAAAAGCAATGCCGGGAGCCTCGAAGCTGGCCTCGAGCACCGGAGAATCTCGAAACTGTTGTCGCCGCAGGTCCGAAGTTTATCTCGGAAACGCGCTCGTTGCTGTTTTTGTTTATTAGAGGCAAACGAAACGGTTTCTGGAAGAAAAATAACAAACAAACATACACGTTAACATCCAAATCATACTGAGGAAATAAGTTAAAGACAAACAAATACAAATGAGCATTAACATAAATTCAAGCAGGCGAGCGCTACAAAATGTCAACATGTCAGCACATCTTTTCTTACCGAGGTTATCTTCCTTCCGCGTCTCGCGACGACAGCGCAACACTCCGAACACTCGTACAAAGACATCTAGGTATGCAGACTGCGCGTTCCCGGCAGCCGCGCGCCCCGGGTCGGCCCGGTCACGTGATACCGCCCGGGGTCATCACGTGGATCACGTGGCGTCCGCATCCACAGCCAATCACGAGGGGGAGCATTCATTCTGGCCAGGGTTCATAATGTCCAGGGTACGCTATGCCCAGTGTCACAATGGCCAGTGCCTTGAATGGGCCAGAGTTCATAATGTCCAGGGATTGCATGGTCCAAATGTGGCCAACTGGCTGCAGATAGGGTATATTCAAAGAGGCCAGGGTTCATAATGTCCAGGGCACGATGTGTCCAGTGTTCAAAATGGCCAGGGTTCATAATGTCCCGGGCACGATGTGTCCAGTATTCGAAATGGCCAGGGTTCATAATGTCCAGGGCACGATGTGTCCAGTGTTCAAAATGGCCAGTGCCTTGAATGGGCCAGAGTTCATAATATCCAGGGATTACATAGTCACTGAAAGTGACGTCATTATGTAAAAAACACGGAATCAGCTCAATGCAAAGCAGTGCAGTGCCGAAGGCAATGCCTTAGGAGAGATTACAGGCAATAGTAAATCAAATATTTTTAGGTTAAGTGGTTATGTATCTGGCTTCAGGCCGAAGGCCTAAATAATACGTACCCGTTGATGTTTCCATGGAAACCCAATTTGACACGTGTAAAAGCAGCGTGCTGCTATCACCGGTGAAACAGGGCCCTGGCCGCAGCTGCCGCTGCGGCAGCGCCCGCCCGCCGAACAAAGACGCAAATGGCACAAAGGCATACACACTAAAATAAAATAAAGATGAATAAAAAAAAACTCAAGCGCCCGCAAGGCGCTTACATCTATCATCCCCTATTTGCTCAATTTGGGTTTACATATTGGTCAGATAAGGTTGATCCACTTCTGTTGCAGACATATAATCAAGATGGACGATGACATCGCTTACAATGTGTACGAGGTACTGCACTTGCTGGAGAAGAGCCCTGATAACGGATATCTGGGTGGTAATGCCTTCCGAAAGGCCAAGCCTTACCGTGGTGATTCTAAATGGCATGTGAGCTTGGAAGAGTGGCCCAAGGAGTATTACCCACCGTATGTATCAGGTAGGTAATTATTGGTCGCTGTGAGGTGTACTGGCGCGGAGGCCCAGCGGTCGCCGGGTTAACCCTCGCCCGTTTAAGAGGGATGGGTCGAACGGACCCCCTCCCTCGGTTTTTCGCGAATAACTCGCGTAAAAACGGCCAATCGCGACGCAACTTTCGGTACCCACGATTTTATCAACTTTACACCTACCCTTAAAATTCCATGATCCTGACCCAAATGACCTTCGACCTGTGACCTACTTTTCAAGACCATGTTTGACCGGAATCGCGATTTGGCGTATGTCGGCTCGCATTAGCCGCGCGTTTGCAGCTGTTCCTGGTTTCAAGCGTTCAAACATGTGAAATGATGTTGGTCCCATGCATTAGGGTGGTTGTCACGGTCACCTTAACCCTCGCCGGCACAGGCTATTTTAACCCGCGCACCGACGGGGGGGGGCGGATATCCGCCCCCCCCGTACCTTGACCTTTTCGCGTAGCGCCGCGAAATTTGGTATGACTATTCTCTCATCAATTTTACACATGGTGTGCAAGTTTGAACCTCCTAACTTTTAAGGTCAGGTCACCAGGTCACTTTGAATGACCCAACCTCAAGTCACTTTTTTGCAACTTTGTCACCGTGCCAGAGCTACAGTAGATGTCGGAGGCCTTTGAAAGTCACAGGATGTTATTAGGTCATTAGTAGCTACAATTTGTATATCTCGGAATTTTGATGTCGGTGACCTAAGGTCAGGTCAATTTCGCGACCTCCCCATTATAAGTCAATGGGGGAAAAATCAACTCCCTGTTTTTACCACTAAAACGGGTCGGAATGGCCCCATATACCATACATGACTTCACATACGATCAACCTTCACTACCTTGAGGTCTGTTTTGCTGTTGGGCAGCTGTAAGGTCATGTGACGTCATCAAAGGTCACCAAAGGTTTTTTGCCAATAACTCCTTACAGGAACAAGATACAGCCGCGCGGATGGTCTCATTGTGTTCAGCTCGTCAAGACGCATCGAATGATATACATGATGACCTCGAGGTCACGTGACCTGAGGTCAACCTTTGACCTTGACCTTTCGAGGTCAACATATATATCATTCGATGCGGATTGACGAGAGGATCACGATGATGCCCTTACTTTGTTCCTATCTTGACTACTTCGAAAGTTATTCGAGAAAAACCATCTCCATATCTAGCGCCGCCATTTTGACTTTTTCGACCCCTGTGACGTCATCTTTGACCTGACCTGAAAATGACCTTTGTAAAAATTGTAGACCTTGTCCGTGCGTATCCGATGCCGTTTACCGCTTGTCGCTATCTTGCTTCGTTCTCGAGATCTCAGGGGGGGCGGTCATCCGCCCCCCCCCCCCCCGTCGGTACTAAGTTGGCGCAGACCCCCGTCGGTGCGCGGGTTAAGTCCTTCAACGGCACAAGGGTGGGGGGGGTACGACCTCCCTCGCGTTTGGCACCTGATGGAGCTAGAGCTTCGCGGAAAAAACGAGCGTGTTGCCCGTCACGAGGGGAAGCCAATGATACCCAATTTTAAGGTCCTAGGTCATCGGTTGACCTTCCAGGTCAGGTCAATGACCCAAAACTCGGGAATATCGGGACCTGTTAGAAAGTCGTAAAGCGTGGCTGCTAAGGGGTTGTCCGGGGTGCTGATCACGAATATCGTGTTAGTTTTGATCACAGATGATGTCGTTAAGCGTTTAGACCAGGTCAGGTCAGGTCAACCGGTAGGGGTCGTGACGGGTATTCGTAGTACCTGTCATCCGCCTCTGACAGCTTCGTAACATGTTACGAAGGCACCAAAACTACTTTGTAAATGTTCAAATGGTTGCTAAATTCGAGTTCAGCTCCAAAAACTAGCCTAGAAACATGTACAACTCGAAAAAGTGAACCGAGGTCACCAAAGGTCAATGACCTGACCTGACCTTCAGGTGACCTTGACAACCACCCTAATGCATGGGAGCAACATCAACTCACATGTTTGAACGTTTGAAACCACGAAAAGCTTGCAAACGCGCGGCTAATGCGAGCCGACAAACGCCGAATCGCGATTCTGGCCAAACATGATCTGGGAAAAGAGGTCACAGGTCAAAGGTCATTTGGGTCAGTGTCATGAAATTTTCAGGATAGGTGTCAAATTGATTAATGCGAGGGTACTGAAAGTTTCGTCGCAATCGGCAGCTTTTTACGTGAGTTATCCGCAAAAAAACCTTAAGGGGGTTGCATCACCCCCGTGCCGGCGAGGGTTAATGTCCGGATTTGGATCGGTCCTGAAAGTTTCAAGTCGAAATACGCAGCAGTTTTTGAGTTATCTGCGAAAAACCGCAGGGAGGACCACTTTGCCCCCCCGCCCCCCCCCCCCACACACACACACGGGTCGCGGGTTAGGAGGAGTCACTGGTGCAAATTTTCTGTTCAGCTTGTCAAGTTAATCTGTACCTATCCGATGTGTGATAGTGTTTGGAATGCAAAATTGATACTGTAACCATTTTTTTCAGGGTGGCTGTATATCGCCAGTCAGGACATGGCAAGTGCGATGGTTAGACGGTCCACCGAGCTGCCGTTTTTCTGGATAGACGATCTATTCATCACCGGAATGATAACAGAAAGGATGGCAATTAACATTACAGGATTTAACGAGTAAGTATTGATGTAACGATACAATATTTTCGTCAAAAACCACAGGGTGTAAAGAAATGATCCGGATCTATTCCTTAACCCGCGCCCCGTTGGGCTATTCAGCCATACGCACCCTGCTGGGGGGGGGGGGGGGCAGATTCTGCCCCCTTGTCTACCTTCCGAACCGATGGTCGTAGAAAGACGGAGAGAACGGCAATCGAAAGCTCTCAACAAGGCGGATCTTAACAGACCAATTTTTTTGCTTAAGTATGTCAGAGGTCGGGTCAAGGTCAGGTCAAGGGTACAAATGCAAGTTTCTACGGTATCGGCCTTGCACCGTAGTTGCCGAAGAATGGGCTCAGACAGATTGCCCAAAACGTGTTCTTAGACTACCAAGACAATATTCGTTGCATACAACGTCATTCAAAGGTCAAGGTCAAGGTCAGGTCAGGTCAGGTCAGGTCACCAAAAACAAAATATAGAATGTGCATAAAACATGTGCGACACATGTTTTATGGGTCATTTTACTCATATAATTCAATAGGCACACTCAATAAGTGATATGGACCACCTCTGGATGAATTTCAGGTCGAGGTCAGGTCAAGGTCAGGTCAAGTAGGTCAAATTTTGAAGTTGATTGTTAAGGCCTAAAAAGGTGTCTATCTGATGCAGTTTTTCACGGCAAATCGAATGGTGCTATTTTTGTTTCCGTACGAGGTCTAGAACTTCCAAAAAAAAATCAAATTTTGTGTGTCGTAACGTGTCATAAAATTTTAAATAACTCCCATATTTTTTAACCGATTCTTCTAAAAATTGGTATCTAGGTGCACATAGACCACTTCTCTGACATATATTCCGGTTTTTTTTCGATACAGTCAATGTTTTGGATTTTATAATTATCGTCCCAAAAAAGTCAGTTTTTTTTAGAAAAAAATAATTGAAATAAAATCCAATATTTTCAAAAATCCGAGCTAACCATTTCATAGACAAAGTAGAATCACGTATAACCTTTTTTTATTGCGTCTTGATTCCTTTAAAAATGAAGATGTTAGCGGCGTTTGAAATTTTGCCGTTTTTGAGGCAAAATGGCGAACTTGACCTCACCAAAACGTCGATTTTTCAAAAAAAAATCCGACGGATTTCGCTAAAATTTCCGGGGAACGTGTCAAATTGATGTATGATAAGGTACTGAAAGTTTGACGTCGCTGGCGCAACGCGTTGAGAAGTTATTGGCGAAAAACGGGAGGGGGCAGATTCTGCCCCCGAGCGGGGCGCTGTTAAACCTCGCCGCACATGCCATTTTTTTATATTAAAAAAAAATTAGGGGTTTAAATCCAAACATTTCAAAAATCCGAGATTGCAGTTTTGTAGCCCTGTTAATTTTACACCTTTTACGCTCAAACATTTTTCTGTATCTCTAAAGCTGTAGGCTTGACAGCTCTTCCTGCGAAACCTTTTTTCGGGTCGAAAGTGGCAGAAATGACGTCACTCCGACGTCATTAGCAGCCAACCTATCACAGCCTCTGGAAAAAATGGTTACAATGCATAAGCTTTTCACGAGAGGGTACTGAAAGTTTGGTGACGATCGGCGCAGCGGTTCTGGAGATATATCGATAAAACTAAAGGGGGCAAAAAATGCCCCCCTCCCACCGCATGGAAAGCTAAAACATCAACCCAAGATAGCTTATCTGAATCCGCCTATGATTTTTTAAATATCCTAAATACCGGAATACTATATGAAGTCCCACTTCATGAAGAAGGGTCCCCAAAAGTTTCATCAAAATCCGTCCAATAAGAAAGAAAATATCGCATTTTTAGTGATAAGGTTTAAAACGCATTTTTTCTAAAGTTTTTGATTCGTGGACACTCAATTTTGAACTTTTTTGACTTGTTTATAGTCAATCTGAAAGTTCACGATGAGAGCAATCGAATGGCGTTTGTCCCATCAGGATCGGATGTTTAGTTTTCGAGATATCAAGGGGGCCGAATCGGCCCCCTTTCACCAGTTAACCCGCGCCCAGGTGGGCTATTCAGCCATACGTGCCCTGCTGGGGGGGGGGGCAGATTCTGCCCCCTTGTCTAACTTCCGAACCGATGGTCGTAGAAAGACGGAGAGAACGGCAATCGAAAGCTCTCAACAAGGCGGATCTTAACAGACCAATTTTTTTGCCTAAGTATGTCAGAGGTCGGGTCAAGGTCAGGTCAAGGGTACAAATGCAAGTTTCTACGGTATCGGCCTTGCACCGTAGTTGCCGAAGAATGGGCTCAGACAGATTGCCCAAAACGTGTTCTTAGACTACCAAGACAATGTTCGTTGCATACAACGTCATTCAAAGGTCAAGGTCAAGGTCAGGTCAGGTCAGGTCAGGTCACCAAAAACAAAATATAGAATGTGCATAAAACATGTGCGACACATGTTTTATGGGTCATTTTACTCATATAATTCAATAGGCACACTCAATAAGTGATATGGACCACGTCTGGATGAATTTCAGGTCGAGGTCAGGTCAAGGTCAGGTCAAGTAGGTCAAATTTTGAAGTTGATTGTAAAGGCCTAAAAAGGTGTCTATCTGATGCAGTTTATCACGGCAAATCGAATGGTGCTATTTTTGTTTCCGTACGAGGTCTAGAACTTCCAAAAAAAAAAATCAAATTTTGTGTGTCGTAACGTGTCATAAAATTTTAAATAACTCCCATATTTTTTACCCCATTCTTCTAAAAATTGGTATGTTGGTGCACATAGACCACTTCTCTGACATATATTCCGGTTTTTTCGATACAGTCAATGTTTTGGATTTTATAATTATTGTCCCAAAAAAGTCAGTTTTTTTTTAGAAAAAATAGTTGGGCTAAAATCCAATATTTTCAAAAATCCGAGCTAACCATTTGATAGACAAAGTAGAATCACGTATAACCTTTTTTATTGCGTCTTGATTCCTTTAAAAATGAAGATGTTAGCGGCGTTTGAAATTTTGCCGTTTTTGAGGCGAAAATGGCGAACATGACCTCACCAAAACGTCAATTTCTCAAAAAAAAAAATCCGACGGATTTCGCCAAAATTTCCAGGGAACGTGTCAAATTGATGTATGATAAGATACTGAAAGTTTGACGTCGCTGGCGCAAACGCGTTGAGAAGTTATTGGCGAAAAACGGGAGGGGCAGATTCTGCCCCCGAGCGGGGCGCGTGTTAACCCTCGCCCGCACATGCCATTTTTTTATATTAAAAAAAATTAGGGTTTAAATCCAAACATTTCAAAAATCCGAGATTGCAGTTTTGTAGCCCTGTTAATTTTACACCTTTTACGCTCAAACATTTTTCTGTATCTCTAAAGCTGTAGGCTTGACAGCACTTCCTGCGAAACCTTTTTTCGGGTCGAAAGTGGCAGAAATGACGTCACTCCGACGTCATTAGCAGCCAACCTATCACAGCCTCTGGAAAAAATGGTTACAATGTATAAGCTTTTCACGAGAGGGTACTGAAAGTTTGGTGACGATCGGCGCAGCGGTTCTGGAGATATATCGATAAAACTAAAGGGGGCAAAAAATGCCCCCCTCCCACCGCATGGAAAGCTAAAACATCAACCCAAGATAGCTTATCTGAATCCGCCTATGATTTTTTAAATATCCTAAATACCGGAATACTATATGAAGTCCCACTTCATGAAGAAGGGTCCCCAAACGTTTCATCAAAATCCGTCCAATAAGAAAGAAAATATCGCATTTTTAGTGATAAGGTGTAAAACGCATTTTTTTCTAAAGTTTTTGATTCGTGGACACTCAATTTTGAACTTTTTTGACTTGTTTATAGTCAATCTGAAAGTTCACGATGAGAGCAATCGAATGGCGTTTGTCCCATCAGGATCGGATGTTTAGTTTTCGAGATATCAAGGGGGCCGAATCGGCCCCCTTTCACCAGTTAACCCGCGCCCCGCTGGGCTATTCAGCAATACGCGCCCTGCTGGGGGGGGCAGATTCTGCCCCCCCCCCCCTGTCTAACTTCCGAACCGATGGTCGTAGAAAGACGGGGAAAACGGCAATCGAAAGCTCTCAACAAGGCGGATCTTAAGAGCCCAATTTTTTTTGCTTAAGTAGGTCAGAGGTCAGGTCAAGGTCAGGTCAAGGGTACAAAATGCAAGTTTCTACAGTATCGGCCTTGCACCGTAGTTGCCGAAGAATGGACTGAGACTGATTGTCCAAAACGTGTTCTTAGACTACCAAGACAATATATGTTGCATACAATGTCATTCAAAGGTCAAGGTCAAGGTCAGGTCAAGTCAGGTCAGGTCACCAAAAACAAGATATAGAAAAGGGCATGTGCGACACATGTTTTATGGGTCATTTTACTCATAGAATTCAATAGGCACACTCAATAAGTGATATGGACCACCTCAGGATGAAGTTTAGGTCGAGGTCAGGTCAAGGTCAGGTCAAGTGAGGTCAAATTGAAGTTGGTTGTTAACCCGCGAGTTGCTGGGGGGGGGCGTTAAACGCCCCCACTTTTTTCGCCGGGCCATAGCATAAAAACGGCGCGCCGCAGGCGCGCCAAATTTTGGGTACCTGTAGGAAATTGATTGAAGTTTATTGTGACAAAGTTTCAAAAAAATCGGTCGGAAAATTTTTGAGATATCGAGGTTTTAGTGACGTCATGATTTCTGAGTTTTCGACCAAAAACGGCATATGTTCAAAAAAATCATATAAAATCACAGAATAGACATATAGACATGCCGTAAACGCCATTAGACTGCCAATACCATGGAAAATTAAATGGCTATCTTCGATTATTGATTATCGTTCCGCATTTTCCAAAATCTTGAACTGAATCTTGGCAATTTCTCGTGACTACTTCACGACCATGATACATGAATTTCTTAAATTGAACTTTTTTAGCCAAACACGTACACATATGATAAAATGAATGTCACCATCGTGTTCTACGCCCCAAATTACCCATAAAACATGTGTCACAGGCTGCGAATATCAGTTTTTATTTTCGGGGATATGTGCCTGCCCGGTTGACCTGACCTTGACCCTGACCTATGCTTGACTGACCCCTGCATGGAGCTGACACTCTTGTAGGCCTTATATGATGGATTGTGCACCGTTTTGACAGAGTTTATGACGAGAGGCGCCCATTGCGAAGTCCTGAAGTCCATGCTACTGAAAGCCCGATTTCAGGTGTTTGACCTGACCTTGACCTGACCTGTGACCTCAAAATTCAACTTTAAAGTACTCATCTGAAGCGTCTCGTCGCGTTCTTTCGTTTGCCGCCTCGTGCGTTTCGCTGCGCCTATTGGTTCTCGAGTTATCGGCTGGGGGCGTTTAACGCCCCCCCCCCCCCCCCAGCAAACGGTGGGTGGCGAAATACCCCAGCAACTGCCGGGTTAAGGCCTAAAAAGGTGTCTATCTGATGCAGTTTTTCACGGCAAATCGAATGGTGCTATTTTTGTTTCCGTACGAGGTCTAAAACTTCAAAAAAAATCATTTTTCAAAAAAAAAATGTGTCGTTACGTCATAAAATTTTGAATAACTCCCACATTTTTAAACCGATTCTTCTAAAAATTGGTATATAGGTGCACATTGACCACTTCTTTGTCATATATTCCGGTTTTTTCGATACACTCTAAATTTTGGATTTTATAAATATTTTCCAAAAAAATCAGTTTTTTGAAAAAATTTGGCCCAAAATCCAAAATTTTCAAAAAACCTAGATAGCCATTTGATAGACAAAGTAGATTCACGTATAACCTTTTTTGTTAGGTCTTGATTCCTTTAAAAATGAAGATGTGAGCGGCGTTTGAAATTTTGCCGTTTTTGAGGCTAAAATGGCGAACATGACGTCACTAAAACGTCAATTTCTCAAAAATTTTCCGACGGATTTCGCTCAAATTTTCAGGGAACGTGTCAAATTGATGTATGATAAGGTACTGAAAGTTTGACGTCGCTGGCGTAACGCGTTTAGAAGTTATTGGCGAAAAACGGGAGGGGGGCAGATTCTGCCCCCCCCAGCGGGGCGCGGGCCTTCGCCCCAGTGTGGGGGGGGGGCATATGTTACCACCCTGTCGCGTTTTTTGCGCGTGAATAAAAATCGCGGCGCGTAGCGCCGCGCCGCTTGGAGTAGCTTTCTGTACATCAATTTTGGACAATGTGTGAAATTTTTTACCCCAGGTCATGTTAGGTCAGGTCACCAGGCCAAGTTAACTGACGAAGCCAAAAAAGTTTGCAATCATTTCCAGCCTGCAGTGTTTGTCAGAAAGGTTTTAAACTTGGTGGATTGCATGATGTTATAAGCGCCTATAAGTTGTATGTCTTGGATTTTTTGTATCCGTGACCTAAGGTCAGGCCAGTGGCGTGAACTTACCATTATAAGTCAATGGAGAATAATGAAAATGCCTCTAGATCCGTGTGTACGCATAGGAACAGTCCAAATATTTCAGAATAACAAAGATTTCGACCACCCGTGATGACCAAGGTGTCTTTTTTGCTGATAGCCTCTAGAAAGGTCATCCGAGGTCATTTGAGGCTACAAACAGATTTTTGCCAATAACTCTCGATTGGAAAGAGATAGGACGATGGGGATGGCCTCATTGTGTTTGTCTTGTTGAGACGCATCGACTGATATGCAACATGACCTTTTCCGGTCAGATCATGACCTTGACCTGAGGTCAAATTTTCAAGTTGACCTTTCAAGGTCAAATTATAGTTCATTCGACGCGTCTCGGCGAGAGGATCACGATTCTGGCAATAAGAATATCGTGGCTTTTTTAGTCAAAAGTAACTGTCGAAAACCACTTTTCGTAAAAACAGCTATTTTGGAGTTTCTGCCCTCGGGAGGCTAAACCGTCGACCTGATGTCCATTTTTTTGATGATGTTCTTATCAAACGAAGAGTTCAAAAGCTGTCTATTGCTTTTCCATGCGTTTTTCTAGCTATCATAGTTCCTGAGATAAATGCATGTTTTCTGAAAGATATAATGACATTTGGCAAATTTTGACCTATGATGACCTCCAGTGACCCCAACATTGCTCTAAGATGAAAAATGACTGAAACACTTTCAAACGTACGCATTGTGAGCTATCGACTGCTTTTTATTGCGTCTTTCTAGCCCTCTTAGTTTTTAAGTTAGAGGTGGGTGGTAACGCCCTCCCCCCCCCCCCCCACTAGGGCGAAGTTGGCTGAGACCGCCACTGGGGCTCGGGTTAATGTAGTCCAGAGAGCCCACCAGTAATAGGGTTAAAATAACCTTTAGTCTTTTGTGACAGAGTTTAGTGATCGAGACTGACAGGGTTGTATGTAGCAAACCAATAGATCCAGTGAGGGCTAAGGTATTTTCAGTTTTCACAGTCTGTGCTTTGATGTGACACTGACAAATACTTTGTCTTACAGTCTTTTTGCCACGTCGGCTGAATGCGTCCGTCACACGGTCAACCAGAGCTACCCCCGGCTCGGACGACCCAACGGCACCGTCTTCAGTCCCAGCGTGGTGGTTACGCCCACTGACCGCGACCTGGACGCGCTGAAGGCCTTCAACAAGCTCTGTCGCTACTGCAGGAGCCGGCCGTGCCAGAAGAGAGAACGAGGGAAAGTGTGTGCAAATACTTACTGACGTGGCTGCATAACTTGTATATGCAGCAACTCTCAGGTGTTTCGCGCATATATAAAAAAAACGGCGACGAATTGCGCCGCCATTTTTGTCACACTAGTTCATACATCGTGCCCGCACACGTTGTGAAACATTCAGACCTGGGTCGTTCAAGGTCAGGTCACCAGATCACGCCAAGTGATCTTCCCTCAGGACAAAAAAGTTTCCACGCTCGCCGTAGCCACACCAACTGACGATCACTTTGAAACTTTCAAAAGTTGATGAGAGGAATAGTATAAAAGTACTCGGTTTTTCATATCTCTGACTAAACCACAGGTCAATTTTGCGACCTCTCCATCAATAGGGTAAAATCGAAATGCGTTTTTTTTTGTATGCTGTTCTAATCACTCTCAAACATGGTTTTATAGGTAAACATGACACACTAGAGAGGAAAATTGCACCCGTGACCCTTTGGTGTGCCACTGAGGTCATCTCAGACTCAGGCCATGAAAGGTCCCCAGCAGTTTGTTGGCTATAGAGACGTGCTAGAGCGGTGCCGATGTGTTCAGCTCGACGATACGGATCAACTGATATTGAGCATGGCCCTTTCCAATCTGGTCATGACGTTGACCTGAAGTCAAATTTTCAGCATGACCTTCCAAGATTAAATTTTGATTCATTCGAAACGTCTCGACGAGAAAAACACGATTCTGGCAAAAGCATAGGCGGCGGAACGGGGCACCGGGGCGCGAGTTACCTAAGTGTGGAACTACACGTCGATTATAGGGCTCTGATTGGTGACTTTGGTCGGGGGATGACGCTTATAACATGATGTCACTCACGTACTTGGCCGGACCAACGGCGCAGCGCAGGTCAATTTTCCGGTCATGACCTGACCGGAAAGGGTCATGTTGCATATCCTGCGCCCCAGTGGCGGTCTCAGCCAACTTCGCCCTAGTGGGGGGGGGGGGGCATATGTTACCACCCACCTCTAACTCAAAAACTAAGAGGGCTAGAAAGACGCAGTAAAAATCAGTCGATAGCTCTCAATGCGTACGTTTGCAAGTATTTCAGTCATTTTTCATCTTAGAGCAAAATTGGGGCCACCAGAGGTCATCAAAGGTCCGAAAATTTGCCAATGGTCATTATATTTTTCAGAAAACATGCCGTTATCTCAGGAACTATGGTAGCTAGAAAAACGCATGGAAAAGCATTCGATAGCTTTTGAACCCTTCTTTTGATAAGGTCATCATCAAAAATGACCTCAGGTCAGTCGTTTAGCCTCCAGAGGGCAAAATCTCCTAACCTTCCAGGCGGTGGGGGGGGGACATTTTTTGCCCCATTTAGTTTTTTTCAATATATCTGGAGAACCGCTGCGCCGATCGTCAGGTTAGGTTAGACAATAACTTTCGACTTTAAAAAGTCACGACATTTCTATTGCCAGAATCGTGTTCCTCTCGCCCAGACGCGTCGAATGAACTATAATTTGACCTTGAAAGGTCAGCTTGAAAATTTGACCTCAGGTCAAGGTCATGACCTGACCGGAAAAGGTCACGTTGCATATCAGCCGATGCGTCTTAACAGGGCAAACACAATGAGACCATCCCCAGCGTTCTATCTCCTTCCAATCGAGAGTTATTGGCAAAAATCTGTTTGTAGCCTCAAATGACCTCGGGTCGTCACGGGTGGTCCAAATCATTGTGATTCTGAAATATTTGGACTGTTCCTATGCGTACACACGGATCTAGAGGCATTTTCATTTTTCTCCATTGACTTATAATGGTAAGGTCACGCCACTGACCTGACCTTAGGTCACGGATATAAAAAAAATCCGAGATATACAAATTGTAGGCGCCCATAACATCATGCAATCCACCAAGTCTAAAACCTTTCTGACAAACACTGCAGGCTGGACATGATTGCAAACTTTTTTAGGCTTGGGCAGTTAACTTGACCTGGTGACCTGACCTGACATGACCTGGGTCAAAAATGTCACACATTGTCCAAAATTGATGTACAAAAAGCTACTCCAAGCGGCGCGGCGCTACGCGCCACGGTTTTTTATTCACACGCAAAAAAACGCGACAGCGTGGTAACATATGCCTCCCCCCCCCCCCCACTGCACTGGGGCGAAGGATATCAGTCGATCCGCAACGTCGAGCTGAACACATCTAAGGCTTTTTCATCGCTCTAGCATGCCTCTATCAGAAGCTATTAGCGAAAAACGGTTAGATTCTATTCGAGACCTGTGATGACCTCGGGGACATAACGAGGGGTCACCGTTGCCATTTTCCGGTTCAATGTGTCCATTTTACGTGCATCTCGTTGTTTGAGAGTGTCTAGAATGGCGTACGTGGAAAACAGACGCTTTTCAATTTTCTCCCATTGACTTTTAATGGAAAGGCCGCAAAATTGACCTGTCCTTAGGTCACCGATATCAAAATTCCGAGATATGCATTTTATAGATAATGTTACTCTTATCAATCGCTGAAAGTGTCCGAAGGCAATCGTGCAGTCGGTGTAGCTATGACAAGCATTCTTATTTTTCTGAGGTGAGGTCACTTGGCGTGACCTGGTGTCCTAACTTAGGGCTACCTGGGTCTGCAATTTTTACAACATGTGCGAAAAAGATGCACAAACAGGTGTGCCAAAAACGGCGGCGCTCCGCGCCGCCGTTTTGAAGATATCTGCGAAAAACCGCAGGGTGTGTGTGTGGGGGGGGGGGGGTTTCAAACTTCCCCCGGCCCGCCGCGGTTTAATTATTCCGAAGCCACCAGTGAATGTCGTCACAGTCACTCACAACAATACGAATCGTGCAGTCATGCGCTGGGGGTCCGCCAAGTTTGAGCTAGGGGCGGGGGAGGGGAGGGGAGCGGGGAGCGGACGGAATCAATGGCGGAATGACGGGGAGACAGCAGGCTGCTGTCACTGTGAGCTGTTGAGACAGTGAGCTGCTGTCACTGTGAGCTGTTGAGACAGTGAGCTGGTGGAACTGTGAGCTGATTGTAAAATTGTGAGTTGGTGACTGTCAGCCGGTGTGACCGTGAGCCAGGGGTGGGACTTGGATCGTAACAGGTTTTATTTCTTTCTTTTACAAAGAACATGTCCGGTCTGTATGTTCCTGGTGAAAATATATATATTAAAAAGAAAGAAAAATAAGTTTGAGTGTCTTGCAGAATGCGGACTGGACCGCCGAGAATATAACATTCCCGTCTGCCTGGGCGAGCGGCGCATTGGAGCCGAGGGAAACTGCTTATCCCTCGCCCGTTTAGGGGGGTCCGTTCGACCACCCCCATGGTTTTTCGCGAATAACTCGCGTAAAAATAGGCCGATCGCGATGACACTTTCAGTACCCTCGTGTTAATCAATTTTACACCTACCCTGAAAATTTCATGATCCTGACCCAAACGACCTTTGACCGGTGACCAACTTTTTGAGACCTTGTTTGGCTGGAATCGCGATTCGGCATATGTCGGTTCGCATTAGCCGCGCGTTTGCAGTCTTTTCGTGGTTTTAACCCTCGCCCGTAAACGGTGTTTTGCCACCTTCGCCCATGCAGGGGGGGGGTGCGACCCCCCCCCCCTGGCGTTTGAAAACGGAGCGTCGTAGAGCTTAGCGGAAAAGACCAACGGATTGCTCTCAACGAGATCTCGCGATTGGTGGTATATTTTTTGGTCCTAGGTCAACATTTGACCTACTTATGACCGGTCAAAGGTCTAATTTTCGGAGAAATCTAACTTTTTCAGATTTCCGCGCCGATTGCGGCAAAACGGTAAGAGATATCGACTTGAAACCTTCACTATCGTAATCCTTGATCAATTCTCTATCGTTTGGTGTGTATTTCGATGTCATAACTCTAAAAATGATGCGTTGGGAGCATCGGAAGTCTGCAAGGTCATTTGTGCATTGGGTCACGTCAGGCGTGTGACGTCACTGACCTGACCCTGACCCAAAATGAACTACAAGAAACAACCGACGATGCCTGAAATGGATAGCAAATTCGAATTCAGGGCATCAAAACACCCCGAAAGGGCATACAAGTGCAAGAAGTCATTACAGGTCAACCGAGGTCACTGACCTGACCTTGACCTTTAGTAACCTTGAAAAGGTCAACGGACATTGTGCCAATGTCAAATCAGCCAGTTATGATTCTAAAACAATCCATCAGTGTGTCAGGTCAGTCGGCATTTATACCAATGTGAAGCAAATCTCCAATTTAGCGTAAATCTGGCCGGAGGTTGTTCCCTTTATGACGTCATAACTCCGTGACCTGACATGACCTTGACAAAAAAAAATTTACCGAAAGTTGCGCAAAGGATGCCCCAAAGGGTACTGAAAATTTGAGCAGGCTATCTGAAACGATTCGGCGTGTAGCTAAGAAAAACCTCAGGGGGGGTTGCACCAACCCTCGCCCCCTACATGGGCGAGGGTTAAGCGTTCAAACATGGGATATGATGTTGCTTCCATGCATTAGGGTGGGTGTCAAGGTCACCAGAAGATCAGGTCAGGTCATTGACCTTTGATGACCTCGGTTCACTTTTTCGAGTTTTACATGTTTCTAGGCTGGTTTTTGGAGCTGAATTCGAATTTAGCAACCATTTGAACATTTGCGATGTAGTTTTAGTGCCTTCGTAACATGTTACGAAGCTGTCAGAGGCGGTTGCCACCTACTACGAATACCCTTACTGGTTGACCTGACCTGACCTGACCCGACCTGGCCTAAATGCATGAAGACATCATCTGTGATCAAAACTAAAATGATATTCGTGATCAGCACCCCGAAAAACCCCGTAGCAGCCACGCTTTACGACTTTCTAACAGGTCCCGATTTTCCCGACTTTTGGGTCATTGACCTGACCTGGAAGGTTAACCGATGACCTAGGACCTTAAAATTGGGTATCATCGGCTTCCTCTCGTCACGGGCAACACGCTCGTTTTTCCGCGAAGCTCTAGCTCGATCAGGGGCGAAACGGCAAGGGGGTCCAACGGACACCCCCTCCCCCCTTATACGTTCGCGGCTGGAAAAACACCAATATGGGCGAGGGCCCTCGCCGGCCGCCGCCCCCCCCCCCCCCATAGGGTTTTTCGCGATAACTCCGAACACGCTGGCGATAGAGAGCTGAAACTTGGCATACCTGACCTTTGATTCAAGCCGGATCTTTTGACACCAGCCGCATTCGCGGGTCAGATCAGGTCACTGACCTATGACGTCATAAGTGAACCTCTGCACGGTCTTCAGATGTCGCAACTTCGCCACGCCCTCAGTGCCAGAGGAGCTTTCACAGGGAAATGAAACTTGCAAGATCTGGTATCCATTACGAGTGTCACAACTTGTATATATCGGATTTTTCCTAAAGGTCATATGAGGTCAGGTCATTTTCGTGACCTCACCATTATAAGTCAATGGGGGTAAATAAAAACTGCTATTCTGGCGCCGGGAATTCGATCTCCAACTATCTCAAGCACGCAGAATCATCGTGATTTGACACACTCCTTGCAAGGTAAGATGCGTCACTTTTGCAATTTGGACCTTTCCTGACGTCATTATGACTCATCAAGGTCATATTAGTTTTTCGTCAGTAACACCCGATGAAATTGAGCTCGCGAGTCGGAAAAGCCACCAATGGACTCAGGAAGACCTGCCGAATCGAATTGTAGCAAGGTGAATTAGGAGAGAAGAAGAATAGAAAAAGCTGTATCATCGCGGTTGATCAAAACCGCAGTCCTCTGTCGTTCGGCTAGTTTAGCAGAAGAGAGAGAACAATTTGCTGCTGTAATGACTCGATAGTAGAGCTTGTGATACAGGGGAGCTTGAGAGTCGTTGAAGAGATCCTGAGATAGCTATAGAGAGAGATCTTGACAGTGATGCAGGGATCCAGATAGAGATCTCAAGACCCGCCTGAGGGAGATGTAGATATAGATCCTCCTTGCATACAAATACATCTGATGGAAGATGCTTTTTAATTTAGAGGCTTGATGATTCTGTTCATTGTATAGACCATGATGTACGAGATGCTTCTTCACTGCTCGGATTAGGGATAGAGGGGTCCGATCAGCTGGGTTTGCGGCACAGTTGGGCAGGTGAGGACAGGGCATTCGAAGTCCCGATGACCACTGCCAAACTTATGGGTGGTAATTACATTGATTAATTGAATGTGATCATTCGTCCAGTCACCCATTCCTATATCACTGGCCTCCCCATTACGAAAATTGCCCACTTAATTCGTATTAGCGTTGCTATCGTTTAGTTGCCCTCGAGGGTTGCTAGCTCGACTGCCGTAACCGAATTCTACGCAATTCCTATCGGCCTTATTCTAAGATTCATCCTTCACCATTCTCACACCCTTGTTCGCATTACATTCACCTTTCATGTATTCACCCAAATTTAATTCGTAGCCCTCGAAATTCCCTCCGATAGTGTTAGGCGTCGGATCAACAACGATCTCCCCGGCGAGATAAATGTCTCTTTCCGAAATACATATGCATGCTCCGCTAACCGGCGACAAAGATACTTATCGCAGGGCCGTCCAGAATAATTGCACAAATATCCACCCTACTAATTTATGGAATTCACTACACGTCCGATAGACTTATGGTACACATATACACGATTTATATCCGACTTATCTCTCTACCGGGAGAGATTACCTATGCCCTCTTCCGGTCCGCGTGTAACATTCCCGTTCACGACCCAGGGACCACAGTTCATATCCTGGAACTATCCTTAAACCATGGGATTTACTATTCAAGGCCTTACGTGTCCTGGAGTACATTCTTCCCTCCCCTGAGGCTGTCCAGTACCGATTAGAGTACCTTTACGAAATAAGTATGAGGACTTATTCGGGACACTACGGCTCGCTTTATCCGCCCTTTGGGTGACTCACCCCTGACCTTCGGCTTCTTGCCTTTGGCATAACTTACTCTCCACTGCATACTGTGCCAATCTTCCCCCTCTCCCCTGCCGTAGAAACCTCTCACTGCCTTCTCACCCAGTGTTACCTAAGCGGGAAAATTAACAGTGGCCGGTACCACTGGCGGAAAACGTGCATATGCCCTGCGTACGTGACGGCGTGTCCCTCTTATTATTCCGGTCTGGACGTGGGTTTAGAGAAGTGCATCTGTGTCTCATACGGTCATGCTGGTAAACGCTACGCCATAGGAGACGGGCAAACAAGCCGTCTGTGCCTCAAAATGCCCTGTGCCAATATTGGTGGAGTAATTATTGGCGCTAACTCGCAAGAACGCGAAGAACAAAAACGCATTATTTATCCAACCAAATCGTAATCTCAAGCCCTAATTGCTGCTGCACGCGTGAACCTAATCATCAGTTCTCGTATGCAATCCTATCAAACCTTGAACCGTTCTTGATTTAATCAGATAATCTAGAACCAATTAGTACGCACCGATCTGTCGTCTGGTTGTGATCCACCGTATCATAGTGAATTGCTGAATGCTCAAACGGAAATGACTCCTTGAAACTCGTTCGATAGCTTCTGATGGGCTACTAGTTACCTAAACAAATTATCTTTATAGAGTGCCAGAATATTGTCATAGGGTCCCGAGCCTTTCATAGGGAATCTAATTTAAATCATCCTATTAGCAGTAAACAATGCGCATCAAACGAAGTGCAATCCTAGATATCATATAGCATGTCATATTTAGCTGTCTACGTTCTTATCCCGTTGCAACTTTCCGCAACTAACCAGGCTCCTATACGTGACCTTCACCTACCGCCCGCGCCCCAATTACGGCTAACCCACTGCCCCTGTTGTGGCTGCTTCTCGCGCCCTCTGGCGGCTCAACGCCCGCGTCGGGAACGACGATTACCACGACCGCCGGCCGGCGCCGCGTCGACACCGTCAGTCAGTCACGCCGCTATGGGCGCGTCAACACTCGCGGTACAGTGCTCGTGCGTGTTGGCTCTTCTGGCCGGTAGATTCACCGGATGTGTCAGTGAGTGTGAATCTGGTAAAATATCGCTGTAATATCTCCCTGTTCGACATCTCATCAGCTCCATTCCACGTAAGTTTTTTTTTAAATAATTAAATTCCTGTCCCATTTAATCGTTCCCAACAAAGATGGTTTTTTCTAGTATTTATTCTACAAAAGCGCAACGATCGCTACCTATATTAGTCGCATATTAATTCAAACCACAAACA